CCCGACGACGAACACGAAGAACCCAATCAGAAGCGGCCCGACGCGCAGCGACGACCTGCTCTCGCGCGGCCGAGGCTTGAGGGTCGTTCCGTACGAGCGAACGTCGGGGTGGAGTTGAAAGGCGTCAGAAGCGGAGTTGAAAGGCGTCGTGGTCGGGTATTGAAACCGAGGCGTGGGCGGAGAGACGCGCCCGCAAAAGTCCTTAAGGAACGGCGTTCACCACGCCGACGCGGTCGTATGGGGACCAGTGTCAGATAGAACGCGCCTTGATCGCCTCCGACCCGCGCTTGTGAATGTTTTCCGCGTACTTGTCCGACTTGGCGTTCAGGACGCGCTTGGAGACCGCCTGCGCGTTCGGGTTCGAATCGATCGGGGGGAGAGGAATCGATCGGGAAGCGGCGCGGCGCGGCGTCGGTCAGTCCGGTCCGGTCCGGTCCGCGAGGTGGGGAAGCGAGCGAGGCCGAGGCGAGCGGGGGGGGGGCCGCGGGGCTGCGGACGGAGAGATCTCGCTCGAGGAGTTTTCGCGGCACTTCGTCGCGGAAGCGCCGCCGCCGCCGCCGCCGCCGCCGCCGCCGCCGCCGCCGCCGCCTCGAGAGACCGGGACCGAGACGAGCGCGCGGGCGGAGATGGAGTCCTTAAGGAATGGCGTTCACCACGCGAACGGGGTCGTATGGAAAGCAGTCTCGTCTCGTCTCGTTCGCGTCGAGCGAACGATCGATCGACGCGCGCGACGCGCGAGGAGGCGACGGGGACGCGGGGGAGGACCGCGCCGGGGCGCGAGGGGGGGGGGAGAGAGAGAGCGAGCGAGCGAGCGCGGGTCGCGCACCATCGCGCGAGAGGTCCGTTCGCGGTGTTCCGCGCGAGCGATGCAATGCGATGCCGCGCGACGAGACGCTCGAGGCGAGAGCCGCGTTCGGTACGCGTACTTTCAAACTATGATAAATGCTCATATAGGTTTCACGTACTACGTACTTTATATGAGCAATTAGTCTCTTACCACCATCTCATCGAGCGCGTTGCGCGTCGTGTCCGAGATTCCGCGTCAGCGAGCTTCCGCCGAAGCGCGTTCTCCCCTCGCGCGCGGCGCATCGCCGCGCGCGCCGCGTCGTCGTCGTCCCCCCGCCGCGCGACGCCACCCCCCGCCCGGGCTCATCGCGGCGGCGATGCGGACCTCCATCGCGCGCGCCGCCGCGCGTCGCGCGCTCGCGTCCTCCCTCGCCGCGGCGTCGCTCGTCCTCCTCGCCGTCTCGCGCCTCCTCGGCGTCGGTCGTCGTCGTCGTCGCGGAGGAGGAGGAGGCGCGAGGACGCGTCGGACGATCCCGTCCCTGGTCGCGGACACGTCCAAGTCCATCGCGGCCCTTCGCGCGCTCGAGTCCGACCGCGCGCCGCGCGATCGCCTCTTCCGCGACCCGTTCGCCGCCGCGCTCGCGGGCGAGGACGCGATGCGGCGCGCCATCGCGCGCGGCGGCGACGGCGGTCGCATCGCGATCCGAACGCGCTACTTCGACGACGTCGTCGTCTCGGCGCTGCGCGGGGACGGGTACGGGGACGGGGACGCGGAAGATGGAACGTCAACCGGCGCGTGGCAGGTCGTCCTCCTCGGCGCGGGGCTCGACGCGCGCGCGTGGAGGCTCTCTCCGGGGAAGCGCGTCGCGAGAGCGCGCGCGCTGTTCGAGGTGGACGTGCCGGAGGTGCTGGAGAGGAAGCAAAGCGTCATCGCGTCGGGCGCGTTCTATCATCACACTGGTCCCCATACGACCCCGTTCGCGATGTGAACGCCGTTCCTTAAGGACTTCCTTTATCCCCCGGCGTGTGTTTCTCTCCGCCCACTACAGTACCCCTCGCCGTTTTCGATCCCGACGCGCCCACGCGACGCCTTTCAACTCCTCCAACTGACGCCTTTCGACTCCGCCCCGACGAATTTCGCTCGCATGGAACGCGCCTCGTCAATCATCAGTCTCCGCGGGCGCGGGCGCGGGGCCGCCGCCGCCGCTGACGCTGACGCGCGCGTACCACGCCGTGTGCGCGAATCTCGCGCGTCGCGACTGGACGACGAGGTTGCGTGACGCGGGGCACGACCCCTCGACGCGCACGGTGTGGGTGCTTGAAGGGCTGCTCTACTACCTCTCGCAGAAGGATTCGGGCGCGTGACCAGACTGACTCCCGTATGATGACCGCGTCGGCGCGGTGAACTTCATTCCTTGAGGACTTTCCTTTCCTTTCCTTTCTCTCCCGGCGCGCGCGCGCGCGCGGCGTTCGTTTCTCTCCGTCACCTCCGCTCATCGCCCCTCGCCGCTTTCCGTTCGATCCCGACGCGCCTGCGCGACGCCTCGCGACTCCGCCCTGACGTCCGTCGATTCGCTTCTTCTCGTTCTATGTCTCTCACACCGGTTCCCATACGACCGCGTTCGCGTTGTGAACTTCATTCCTTAAGGACTTTCTCTCCCGTCCGTCCGATCGCCTTCCCTCATCAGACGCGACGCTGCGCGCGTGCGCGGCGCTCTCCGCGCGCGGCTCCAGGCTCGTCGCCTCGTGCGTCAACGTCGCCGCGCTGCGACGGGCGAGGGCGGGGACGGGCGCGCGCGCGACGTGGCGGAGCGCGTACGACGAACCGGAGCGCGCGTTTTCGTCGCTCGGGTGGAACGTCGAGACGGCGATGGAGCCCGGGGACGCGACGTGCGACGCGCGGTACGGCGGTCGGTGGGAGGGAAAGACGCCGACGCGGCGGGGCGGGGGCGGGGATGAGGGAGGGAGGGCGAACGATTTCGGCGGGAACGACGGGGACGGCGGGGACGGCGGGGACGGCGGGGACGGCGGGGACGGGGACGATCCGACCCCGAGGACGTTTTACGTCAGCGCGGTGTTGAAGTGATCGAATCGACGCGTTCGTTCGTTCGTTTCTACTGTAAGGTTACTGTATGTCGACGGAGGTCGAGGCGTGCTAATAAGTACTTTCGAAAGTACCTTCGTAACAACAACTTACGATACTCCTTCAATCAAATCTCGCTTCCCCCCACGGTCTCGCCCGTCCAGCTGGCCATCCTCGCCTTGACGTACCGCAGCGTGAGCCCTCCGCCGCCGCCGAAGTCGTCCACGACCATGGCGACGCCGACGATCTGCGAGTCCGCCTGGTTCGCCGTGCGGCACACCACGTTGAAGACGCCCGCCGCGTTCGCCTGCGAAGCGACGCACGTCGGGGTGGGCGGAGGGAGTTGATAGTCGAAAGGCGTCAGACGGAGGGAGGAGTTGAAAGGCGTCGCGTGGGCGCGTCGGGATTGAAACGAAGCGGCGAGGGGTGGCGGGCGGAGAAGAGAAACGCCGGGCGAAGTCCTTCAGAAACGGCGTTCACCACGCGGACGGGGTCGTATGGGGACCAGTGCGAGATGAAGAGAACGCACCTCCGTCGCCGTCGCGCGGCTGGCGCCGACGAACACGCACCGGTCCGCGCGCACGCCCTTCTTCTCCAATATCCCGCGAAGACTCCCCGCGTTGATCACCGAGCGCGTGGAGTTGCAAAACACCGACGCGTCCACGATGACGTCGCTGGCGAAGCTCTGCCGCTGAGGGTAATTGCCCATACGAAGCGACGTCGGTCGGGGTGGAGTTGAAAGGCGTCAGAAGCGGAGTTGAAAGGCGTCGAGGTGTGTACGGGGACCAGTGTAAACATGGACGCGCCTGTAAATCGCCGCCCACCTCCGCGGCGAGGAGCTCGCCCTTGCGCGCCTTCATCGTCGCCTGCATCTCTCGCCGCGCCGCCTCCCACGCCTCGTCGTGCGCCGCCGCGTGGTCCCCGACGGCGTCGAGCGCGTCGTCTTCGTCCAAATTCGACTTCGCGTTCTTCCCGGAATCATCGGCTCTCGAAGCGTCGTTCGAAGCGCTCGCCGCCGCGCCCGCGCCCGCGCCCGCGCCGGCTCCCGCGCCCGCCGCCGGCGCCGTCGTCGTCGTCGCCGCCGCCGAGAGAGAAGAGAGGCTCGCGCCGTCGACGATCTCGTTCGCGTCCGAGACGGAGATGGCGGCGGCTCGCAGCGGGCTTAGGGTCGAGTGTCCATACGAGCGAACGTCGGGGTGGAGTTGAAAGGCGTCAGTCGGAGTTGAGAGGCGTCGAGGGTGGGGATTGAAAGCGAGGGGTGGGTGGAGAGATGCGCCGACAAAAGTCCTTAAGGATCGGCGTTCACCACGCCGATGGGGTCGTATGGGGACCAGTGTATAGAACGCACCCCATCGCGCGGAGCACCGCGCCCATCACGTTCTCCTCCGGCGCGCTCGCGGTGGCGCCGATGATCACCTGCGACGCGCGGGGCGGGCGAACGGGATACGATTGATTGGTCAACGCGTGATCAGATTATATGACGTGGCATATCGTGTGGTGGGTAACGACCGACGGGATATGACGTGGCATATCGTGCGGTGGTCTCGGTCGCACCACCCGCGCGTTCTCCTCGAGCAAGCACTCGTCCAGAAACTCCAGCGCGCCCTTCCTGAGCCGCAGCCGTCCCTCCTCCACCATGCGCGCGAAGTTGGCGTCCTGTCGGGGTGGGCGGAGTTGAAAGGCGTCAGAAGCGGAGTTGAAAGGCGTCGAGGTGTGTGCGTCGGGATTGAAAGCGAGGGACCCTGGGCGGAGGGAAACGAACGCCGGGACGTAAAGTCCTCAGCTAAGGAACGACGCGCGCCGCGCCGACGCGGTCGTACGGGGACCAGTGCTCGTGTAGAACCTTCTTCTCGACGACGCCGCGGATCCACTCCGCGCGTCGCGTCGCCAGGAGCTCTCTGTTGACCGGGTCGCGGCTCGCGGCCGCGCGCGCGGCGGCGGCGCGCGACGCGGCGGAAGCGTTCTCGTACCCCTCGGGCAAAAACATCCCCAAAGTCGCCGCGCCGCCCGCGCCGCCGCCGCCGCCGCCCGCGGGGGGCTCGCCCACGTCGTCGCCGCGGAGCTCCGGGGTGGGGTAGCCGTAGTAGCGGAAGTAGCGCTCCACCATCCCGTACGCGGTCCCGCCTCCAGAGCGCAGGAGCGAGAGGTACTCGTCCTGGCTCCAGCGCGCGCCCTCCATGCCGAGCTCGGTGAACGTCTCAGGGTCGAGGGTCCATACGAAGCGACGAACGTCGGGGTGGAGTTGAAAGGCGTCAGAAGCGGAGTTGAAAGGGAACGCGGGCGGGGATTGAAAGCAGCGAGGGACCCTGGGCGGAGAGATACAGTACGCCGGGAAGTAAAGTCCTTAAGGAATCGCGTTCACCACGCGAACGCGGTCGTATGGGGACTGGTGTGAGATGGGACGCACCTCGTTGAACGCCTCGCGGTGGCCGTCGAGGTGCACGTCGCACAGCACGCCGTCGCACTCCACCACGATCAACAGCGGCTCGGGGGACGCCGCGTCGTCGTCGTCGTCGTCGTCGTCGTCGTCGTCCGTCGCCTCCCCGAAGGCGTCGACCGACGACCGGCCCGCGGGAAGCGCGCGGGGGGGGCGAAGAAGACGGAGGCCGGGAGAGAAAGCCCTGAAGGAATGAAGTTCACGACGCGAACGCGGTCGTACGGGAACCAGTCGGAGGCGGGACGACGCTCGGAAGCGGGCGGCGCGCGCGCGCGAGCGGATGCGAACGCGGGGGCTCGCCGTCGCCGTCGCCGTCGCCGCGGTCGCCGTTCCCCCCGCGCCGTCGCCCTCGCGCCGCGTCGCCTCGGACGCTGACGTGGCGGACGCTGACGTGGCGGTCGATGACGTGGCGGCAAACGCGCCCAACCCCAACGCCGCGTCCAGCGCGCGCACGTCCCTCTCGCACGCGTCGCACAGCGGCTTCACCAGTCGGGGTGGAGTTGAAAGGCGTCAGACGGAGTTGAAAGGCGCCGAGGGCGGGGATGGAAAGCGAGGGACCCTGGGCGGAGAGATGCGCCGGGAAGTAAAGTCCTTAAGGATCGGCGTTCACCACGCGAACGGGGTCGTATGGGGACCAGTGTATAGAACGCACCTTCACCGGCAGCACCCCGAACGGCTCCTCGATCTGCACGCCGATCTCGTCGATCCCGAGCATCAGGTACGACATGAGCGCCACCGCGGGCACGGCGGCCCACCCCATGCCGTCCCAGAGCGCGAACGGCAGCGTGAGCAGCCACAGCATGAGCGAACGCGACGTGTGCCGCGTGTAGCTCACGGGAATCGGCGTCGACTGGACGCGTTCGCGGTGGAGTTGAAAGGCGTCAGAAGCGGAGTTGAAAGGCGTCGAGGTGTGTGCGTCGGGATTGAAACCAGCGAGGTGTGGGCGGAGAGAAGCGCCGGGAGATAAAGTCCTTAAGGATCGGCGTTCACCGCGCGAACGCGGTCGTATGGGGACCAGTGTGAGATTGAACGCGCCTGGATGCGTTCGCACCCGCCCGGAACGGCGGCGATCTCTCCGAGCAACGTCTCCGCGCGTTGATGCATCAGCGGCGGCATCCCGAGCTCGAGCGCGGTTCGAAGCGCTTCCGCGCACCGCGCGTGCATCAGCATCGGGACGTTGACGCCGTCGCCCGTCACGCGCGCCGTCTCTTCCTCGCCGAGAATCGCGCCGAGTTTCGAGCGAGCATCCACCTTAGGGTCGAGGGTCCATCGTTCAAAGCGACGTCGGGGTGGAGGCGTTCAAAGGCGTCAGAAGTGGAGTCGCAAGGCGTCGAGGTGTGCGCGTCGGGATTGAAACCAGCGAGGGGTGATGGGCGGAGAGAAACGCGCGCCGGGAAGTAAAGTCCTCGAGGACCGGCGTTCACCACGCCGACGCGGTCGTATGGGCGGGACCAGTGTGAGATAGAACGCGCCTTGAACGCCGTCGGGTCGTTGACGTCGCTTCGCGTCCGGCCCTTGCGCGCGTGCGCTTCGCACGCGTGCCCGACCGCGGCGGCGTAGCGAACGATCCGACGGCGCGCGTCGCTCGCGGCGTCGGGGACGTACACGCACGTTCGCGCTAAGGGCCATTCCATACAAAAAAAGTTCATCGGTCAGTTGAAAGGGGGCGCGATCAAGTGTTGAAACCGGGCGATGGGTGAAAAAACGTTTGTATAGAACGCACCTAAATCGCGGACGAGTCGGACGAGGGTGCCCAACAGCAAGCGCGCCTCGTTGAGCCGCGCGAACGAGTTATTCGTGCGAAAGACGAGGACTAAAAGGGTCGAGGGTCCATACGAGCGAACGTCGGGGTGGAGTTGAAAGGCGTCAGAAGCGGAGTTGAAAGGCGTCGAGGCGCGTCGGGATTGAAAGCGAGGGACCCTGGGCGGAGAGAAACGACGGCAAACGTCCTTAAGGAACGGCGTTCACCACGCCGACGCGGTCGTATGGGAACCAGTGTGAGATGGGACGCGCCTAAGCCGAGCGCGAGCCCCGCGAGCGAGTGCGCGGTGGGCGGGCACGTCGCGGCGGTGCACGACGCGCACGCGGCGTCGAAAGCGCGCGTCAGGATCGTCAACGGCGTCGCCGCGGTCGCCGCGGACGCCGCGAGCCTCGCCGCGCCGTGCGCGGCGACGGCGCCTGGGCGGGCGGGTTTGAAAGGCGAAAGGCGTCGGTCGAAAGGCGTCGGGTTTGAGTCGAAAGGCGTCGGGTTTGAGTCGAAAGGCGCCGGGTCGGCGCGTCGGGATGGAATCGAAACTGAGGGGTAGTGGGCGAAGAGCGACGCCGGGCCGGGAGAGAAAGTCCTTAAGGATCGGCGTGCACCGCGCCAACGGGACCGTATGGGACGCAGTCTGGGAAGCGGTCTCATCACCTGCGCCGCCCGCGTTCCACGCCGCCCACGCCCACGCCCACGCAGTGATCAAGAGTATCGGCTCTGAGAGGCGTTCCATACAAAAAAAGTTCATCACCGGTCAGTTGAAATGGGACGCGATCAAGTGTTGAAACCGAGCGATGGGTGAAATAGTCTACGTTTGCATATAAGCTAGAACGCACCTAAGATTCGCGTGAACACGGTGCTCCTCGGCACGCTCCCGAGGTGCCGCCAGTATCGACTCACCGCGCGGTGCCGCTCCCACGTGTCTTGTGTCCAGAGCTTCGAGACCGTGCTTCCGCCGCGCGAGACGAGGAGCTGGTTCAGGCCGGGGTCTGCACGGAACACGAGAACGCGCGCGAAAAAAGTGGAGTGGTGGTGTATTCTTCGGTCAGTTGAACGTCGACGCGATCGAACGTTGAAACCGTTGATCGAACGTTGAAACCGTTGATCGAACGTTGAAACCGTTGATCGCGAAACGTTGAAACCGTTGAAACCGAGGGGCGGCGGGTGAAATGCGCAATTTCAATTTCGCACCCTCGTCGAGGACGTCCGCGTCGATCTGGTTGTTGTACATCCCGAGCGTGCGCTGCAGCGCGGCGACGCCGACGCCGCCGCCCCAGCGCTCGAACCCGATCTGAGAGAAAACGCTCGACCGTTGAGCGTTCTCGAACCGCTCGACCTCCCCCGGCGCGCGAACGCGTTTGACGACGCCGGTCGCGCTCGCGCTCGCGCTCGCGTCGTCCGTCGTCGCCGTCGTCGTCGCGGCGGGGACGTACGCGAACGCGTCGCCGGACGCGACCGCGGCGAGGACGTCGTCGAGGATGGGCACGACCGAGGCGCGCGCGTCCGCGTCCATGCCGTCGATCTTCGACGCGAGCGCGTCCGCGGCGGCGTCGGCGGCGTCGTCCGGCAGCGCGCGGAGAGGCGTCGTCGTCGTCGTCGTCGTCGTCGTCGCGCGAGGCTGCGATCGACGCGCGACGACGCGCGAACGACGAGGCCGCGTCGCGCTCGCGCGGCGGCGCGCGGCGGCGGCGTCTCGCGCGGTCGGCGCGCGCGCGACGCCGAGGGCGGCGGCGGCGGCGACCGTCGGCGCGGGCATCGTGTCGGCCTCGCGCGCGCGGATGGAGACTGCGGGCGTCGGCGGTCGCGCCCGGTGGTTTTCGCGCGTCCTTTCGACGACGCATGACGCGTTTTCGCGCGAAGAGTGGCTGCCACGTGTGACGACGCGGAAATTCCCGCGCCTCTGATGACTAAATGCCCGTACACGTACGGAAATATCTTTAATACCGCGGACTACTTTGTAAACTTAATTTTTTAAATTTCCGGGAAAGTCCAGCGTGTCCCCGCCTGCGCTTACGATTTCTGTTGCACTCATCAGGTGCCGACTTCGCGTTCAAACGCGCCCTCGACAGAACCCAGAACCCACGCACGCAGAGACCGCGGCGCGAGGGATGCCGCCCGACGCGCCAGCGCGCGCGGGCTCGCGCCCTCCGTCGTCGTCCTCATCCTCCGCGTCGTCCGCGCCCGGGCTAAACTCGGGGGCCGGCGCGCGCGCGGCGAGAGTCTCCATCGAGTTCGGCGGCTTCGGTGGTGCTCGCGGCGACGCGTCCGCGCTCGTCGGGGGATGGACGCCGTCGACGTCGTCGTCGTCGTCGTCGCTCGCGGGTCCGCGTCATCCGCGTTCGCCGCCGACGTCGAGGGATTTCGCGCGCGGGCTCGCGCATCGCGCGTCCGCGCCGCGCGCGAGCGGCGGGGGCGTCTCGACGACGCGCTCGAGCGACGGCGACGGCGGCGCGAGATCGCGCGTCGCCTCCCCCGGGGCCGCCGCCTCCCCATCATCCCCTTCGAGCCCTTCCCCTTCCTCGGACGACGGCGTCTTGATCGCGGAGAGCCGCTCGAACCCCGGCGTCGCGGTCGTCTACCGCTCGCGCGCGACGCGCGACGCCGCGCCCGAGCGCCTCGACCTCGACCGACGCGGTCTGACGGCGTGCGCGGAGATCGAGGGCGAGGTGCGTTCTGTACAAAAGTTTTTCACCCATTGTCCGGTTTCAACATTTGATCGCATCCCCTTTCAACTGACCGGTGAACTGTTTTTGTATGGAATGGCCCTCTGTCATCAGCATCGACTTCGCTTGCTCAACTACCAACACAACCGCATTCGATCCATCGAGCGCATGGAGCGCACGCGCGCGCTCGTCTTCTTAGACCTCTACGACAACGCGCTGCGGAGCGTCGACGGCCTGGACGCGGTGCCGGGGCTGCGCGTGCTCATGCTCGGGAGGAACGAGATCCAGGTCGTCGACGGGCTGTCTCGGCTGACGCGTCTGGACGTGTTGGACCTCCACGACAACGAGGCGCGTTCTCCGTTCTCCTCATCGCACCGGTCCCCATACGACCGCGTTCGCGATGTGAACGCCGATCCTTGAGGACGTTTGCCGTCGTCTCTCTCCGCCTACTCCTCGCTTTCAACGCCCGCCCTCGACGCCTTTCAACTCCAACTGACGCCTTTGAACTTGACCCTCGACCCGGGATTAATTAGATTCACGATCTCAAAGGGCTGCGACGCGGCGAAGGCGGCGAAGCGCTGCGATCGCTTCGCGTGTTGAACCTCGCGGGGAATCGCGTCCGCGAGATCGGCGACTTGAGCGCGCTAGAGGGACTCGCGGAGTTGAATCTGCGCAGGAACGTCGTCTCGCGTCTCGGCGACGACGACGGCGGCGGCGGCGTCGGGGGCGCGGAGCCGACGCGTCTGCCCCCGAACCTGCAGCGCGTGTTCCTCAGCGGTAACGCGCTGAGAACGTTCGACGCGTTGACGCCGCTGCGCGCGCTTCGAAGGCTGACGGAGGCGTCCGTCGACGGGAATCCGTTCGCCGAGCGCGGAGACCTCCGCGGCGACGGCGGCGGCGGCGCGGCGGCGGTCCGAAGGCGCGTCCTCCTTACACTGGTCCCCATACGACCGCGTTGCGTGGTGAACGCCGATCCTTAAGGACTTTGCCCGGCGTGTCTCTCCGCCCATTCCTTGCGTTCAATCCCCGCCCTCGACGCCTTTCAACTCCATCTGACGCCTTTCAACTCCACCCCGCCATCGGTCCGAAGGCGCGTCCTCGAGATTATCTACACGCCGACGCTGCGGTGTCTGGATAACGTCGCCGTCGGCGCGAGGGAACGCGCGGAGCTCGCGGAGCTCGACGCCACCGCCACCGCGGCTGATGATGCCGATATGGTTGAGGGGCTGTTTAAAACGTCCGGTTCGGAGGCGTTACAAGACGCGGGCGCGGGCCTGAGCGGGTCCACGAAATACCTCGAACGCGTCGCCGCCGCCGCGCACGGGCTGCGCTTGACGTCGTCGTCGTCGTCGCCGCCGCCGCCGCCGTCGAGAACGACGAACGACGACGCGACGAGGGTAAACGCTCATGCGACCCCGACGACGAAGCCCGTCGCCGTTCGAGCGTTGCGCACCGGGCTCCACGCGACCGGGTGGGACGTCGCGACGAAAACGCTGACGGTGTACGGCTCGGTCGAAAACCTCGCCGAGGACGCGAACGCGCCGCACGCGGAGTGCGTGATCCTGCGGTACATGTCCAACAAAACGCACATGAGCGAGACGTTACGATCAATCAAAACCGGGATGCCGCGCGTCCACGAACTCAGACTGGAAGAGTGCGCGCTCTCGTCGTTGTCCTTCCTGGACGAGCTCGCCGCGCTCGGCCTCGGCGGCTCCGGGGACGCCGACGGGAGGTTCATCGCGAAGCTCTCGGTCAGCGCGACGGGCAACCCGGCGCTTCGATCGCTGACGCTGTATCGACCGTACGCGACGAGGACTCTGCCGTCGTTGGAGACCATCGACGGCGTCGACGTCTCCGCCGAGGATCGCGACGCCGCGCGCGCGTTGTTCGCGCCCCTGGACGACGAGATCGCCGCGTCCGCGTCGGTGGTTTCTTCTTTCCAACGACAAAACGCACATCAGAGAGACGTTACGTCGATTGATCCAAACGACGCGCGAGCGCTGTTGACGTACGCGCGCGCGGCGACGGTGAGACCGCCGACGACTGACCTCTGTTTCCGTCGCCCGCGCGTCGTCTCGTCTCGTCTCGTCTCTCGTCTCTCGTCTCTCTCTCTTCGACCCGCCCGCGCTTCCCTCACGACGTCGCGTTTCACCGCGCGCGACTGACCGACTGACCGACGCTGGACCCGTCGACAGGCGCGCGCGAAAGCCGTCGCGGAGAAGCTGAGGATATTGGACGAGCGTTGGGACGGACTCGTGCGCGGGTACGCGCGCGAGGGATTGGAGCTCGCGGCGGCGAGCAGTCCGGGGGCGGTCAGGAAGTCCGTCGGTGAGACGAAATGCTCATAGGAAGTCCGTCGCGGTCGCGCGGTGACGAGCGAGAGATACGGCGGGGGGGATTGGGAGGGGTAGGGGGTAGTCTTAGCGCGTGCATAGATAATTGTGTACGAATAGTACACGTAACAACAACTTCCAAAAAAAAAAAAAAAAAAAAAAAACTTACGCGTGGAGCTCTTTGGACGCGGCGGTTCAGGCGTTGGACGGGAAGACGGTCATGTTCAAGCGGCGGGACGACGACGACGACGACGACGACGACGGCGACGACGACGACGACGGCGACGCGGCGCCGAAGAAGAAGAAGAAGGAGGAGGAGGAAGAAGAGAAAGATAGATAGAGATGAGAGACCGTCGGGGTTCACCCGACAGCTCAATATTAAGAAATGCACCTTCAGGTTGTTAGCACGCGACCAGACTACGTCGAGCGTTCAAACACATCTATCTCCACACACACTCTCGGGGCGCGCGCGCGCGAGCGCTCGCGCGCGAGGGAGGGCGTCATGAGCTTCGCGGACACGCTCCGGAACCGCGCCGGGGCCGCGGGGAAGCCGACCCGCGCGCGCGATCTCGCGCCCGGGAGAGGCGCGGACGACGACGACGACGACGACGACGACGACGACGACGACGACGCGCGCGACGACCGCGTCGGTGATGATCGACGCGGCGCGCGCGCCGACGCGATCGCCAACCCCGCCGCCGCGCGTCGCGCCGACCGCGGCGTCAGCACGTGGCGCGACGTCGCGGGGATCGATCGCGATCGCGGCGGCGGGACGCGCGACGACGACGAGAGCGACGCGGCGCGGCCGTCGACCGCGCGATTCTCCACGGGCGCGCTCCGGCGCGTCGAGCGCGTGCGATGCGCGGACCCGGACGCGGCGGCGGACGCGGCGAACGGCGGCGAGGCGGACGCGGACGCCGCCGACGCGGACGCCGCCGACGCGGGAGGAGGAGCGCGCGTTCGCGCGACGCTGCCGATGGACTGGGCGCTCAAGGTGCGTTCTATACACTGGTCCCCGTACGACCGCGTCGGCGTGGTGAACGCCGATCCTTAAGGACTTTTCCCGGCGTCTCTCTCCGCTCACCCCTCGCTTTCAACCCCAGCCCTCGGCGCCTCATAACTCCAACTGACGCCTTTCAACTCCACCCCGACGTTCGCTCGTATGGAACGACCCTCAAGTCGCGCGTCGCCTTCGCGTCGTCGGCGCCGTTTCGATGCCTGGCCGCGCGCGCGGGCGACGGCGCCGGCGGCGACCGCGGCGTCCGCGCGTTCGCGTCCGGGCGCGCGCGCGACGCGTTTAACGCGGAGGAGAGGGAGAGCGCCGCGGCGACGATCGCGAGGGCGTCGATGACGTGGCAGCATCCGTCCTCGCCGATGGAGCCCGAGCTGGTAAGAGAGATGCGCGCGACGGAGCGCGGGAGAGCGTTTCACGAGCGGCGCGTGGACGCGTGGTGCGTTCAATACAAACGTTTTTCACCCATCGCCCGGTTTCAACATTTGATCACATCCCTTTTCAACTGACCGGTGAACTTTTTTTGTAGGGGCGACGCGCTCGTGTCCGCGTACGCCGCGCTGAGGGTGGGGAAGTGCGAGGCGTTCTACGTCGTGTACGACGAGCGCGTCGTGCTGTTCTGCGCGCCCGGCGCGGGCGGCGGCGCCGAAGGCGACGACGAGACGGACTCGGGCGCGTTCTATCTCACGCCGGTCCCCACGCGACCGCGTTGTTGGCGCGGTGAACGCCGTTTCTTAAGAAGGACTTTACTTCCCGGCGTTTGGTTTGTTTCTCTCCGCCCAGGGTCCCTCGCTTTCAATCCCGACACACCTCGACGCCTTCCAACTCCGCTTCTGACGCCTTTCAACTCCACCCCGATATCATCGCTCGTACGGACGATTACCCTCAGCGACCGGCGGGCTCGGGTTCGCGCTCGTCACGAACGCGGACCACGGGCGCTTCCGCGCCGCGCTGGACGACGCGGACGTGCCGTACGACGTCCTCGGCGAGGACGACCATGCCGCGGATCGATCCGCGAAGGTCTCGCGCGGCGGCGGTAAGGACGACGGCGGCGGGCGGGAGGACGATCAGGTAGGAGTCGCGTCGCACTGGTCCCCGTACGACCGCGTCGGCGTGGTGAACGCCGATCCTTAAGGACTTTTGCCGACGTTTCTCTCCGCCCACCCTTTCCTTTCAATCCCCGCCCGCGACGCCTTTCAACTCCAACTGACGCCTTTCAACTCCACCCCGGACGAGCAGGACGCGGACCACCACGTGCTCGACGACCACGGGAAGCCCATCTTGAGGGCGGACGCGAATCGAAATTTTTACGCGCGCGGCGCGTCCGCGGCGCGGGACCCCGCAAGAGGCGTCGCGTGCGTGACCGGCGCGGTGGCCGTGCACGGACTCTTAAGCGTCCTGCTCGAGGGCGCGCGCGGCGGCGGCGGCGGCGGCGACCCGGGCGCGGCGGCGGCGGGAGAGACAGCCTTCGGCGGTGACGCGAATAAGGGGCTCAAAGGGAAGGGGAAGAAGGACGGCGCCGGCGGCGGCGGTGAGACTGCTTCCCGTACGACCCCGTTCGCGTGGTGAACGCCGATCCTTAAGGACTTTTGCCGTCGTCACTCTTCACCCGCGCTTCCCTTTCAACGTTTGACCGGTAAGACGTTCGACTGACCGATCGCTTCACCCACGCAGGCGGCGGCGGCGGCGGTAAGGACGTCCCGCTCATCCTCGCGCCGACGCCGTTCGCGAACGCGACGCTTCGTAAGATTTCGCTCAAGGTTGGAAAATCGCAGACCGTCGCGGGTCCCGCGGGGCCCGCGGGGAGACCTCTTAGGGAGCGCGGCGGGGGGGGGGCGGGCGGGGCGTGTACGAGGTGCGTCCCATACACTGGTCCCCATACGACCCCGTTCGCGAGGTGAACGCCGATCCTTAAGTACTTTTCCACCCGGCGTTTCTCTCCGCTCATCCCTCGCTTTCAATCCCCGCCCTCGGCGCCTTTCAACTCCGTCTGACGCCTTTGAACTCCACCCCGATTTTCGCCCCGCCCAGAACGAGGACGGTGTACACCGCGGAATTCGACGCGTCGAGAGACGGCGGCGGCCCGCTCCCGCCGTGGTGCGCCGCGCGTCTGTTCGACGCCATCGCGGACGCGCAAGGGGACGACGTCGTCGCGACGTTCCGCGGCGAGATCGCCGCCGGCAGCGGCGCGCTGAACGCGGCCGTGCGCGTCGCCGGGGCGAAGGCGCGCGACGCCGGGAAACGTTTGGCGACTGATCGCGTCCGCGCGGCGGCGGCGGCGGCCCGGCGGCGCGCCTCGGACGACGACGACGACGCGTGCCGCTACTACGACGCGAGCGAGAGGAAGCGCGTGCGCGACGGGTGCGACGCGCGGTTCGATCGCGGGTTCGAGAAGATCACGAGGCGGGACGGGACGTATTACCTTCGCTCCGCGTTTCGAGAGTAAAATAGAAGAAGAGAAGAAGAAGAGATCCGTCGCGCGACTTGTTCTGTGAAAACGTCGTGCCATCGATAACAATCAACTTCTGCTACGTATACAACACGCATGTTGTAGACGACACGAACACGACGACAAACAACAACACGTCAAATCACACTAAGGTTATCGCGGTGCGCGCGCCAACTCGCCCGCCTCGTCGACGACGTCGCCGCTCACGTTCGACGCGTCCGCGCTCGCATTCGCCGCCGCCGCCGCGCTCGTCGTCGTCATCGCCGCCGCCGCGCTCGTCGTCGTCGCCGCCGTCGCCGTCGCGTTTCTCGCGTTCTTCCTCCGCGCGGGCGGCCTGAGGACAAAGTCCACAGTGCCGCCAACGCGTTTCACCTCGTCCTTCGCGTATCCGAGCTCGCCCGTCGCCCACGCGGCGACGTCGAAGGTTTTCGCCTCGGGCGGGACCTTCAACGTCGTCGTCGTCTCCTCGGAGAGCGTCTGGTAGTTGGACTCGTAAAATATCGTCGGCGCGCATCGTCTGAGGGTAATTGCCCATACGAAGCGACGTCGGGGTGGAGTTGAAAGGCGTCAGTTGGAGGAGTTGAAAGGCATCGCGGCGCGTCGGGATTGAAACCGAGGGGTGGTGGGCGGAGAGAATCGCCGGGAGATAAAGTCCTTAAGGATCGGCGTTCACCGCGCCAACGGGGTCGTACGGGGACCAGTGTGAGGAGGACGCGCCTGATTGTCTCCCGCGCGCCGTAAAACACCAGATGTTCCGCGCCCTCGGCGTCCACTTTCAGCATCGATATCGGACACGCGATGCGGAACGAGTCCAGGGTCCGCATCGGAACCTCCTCGCCGCCCTGGCCGATCTGCCTGCCTCCGTAATTCACCGGCTCGCCCTTCGCCGCGGTCGCCGCGAACGACGCGCCCTTCTTGGAGCCGTCGCTGAGAACGTCGGACATGTGCGTCGTCGTCTCGGCGTGACCGAGGACGCCGCGGAAAGTCTGGACGTTTTTAGACGCGTCGTTTAAGACGAGGTTGAAATTCAACACCGAGTGAATGAACGGCTGGGGCTCGAAGGCGTACACGCGGCCGGTGGGGCCCACTTTGTCGGAGAAAAACACCGAGTAACTGCGCGCGGCGATGAGCGGGCGGGATGGGCGACACGTGTCAGGTATTGTGCAGTGTGGAGATGACACGTGTACAAAGGAAAGGATACGGAACGAGCGGTCGAGAGAGAGTGCCGTGAGGACGCGCCTTCCGTAATTCGCGCCGACGTCGATCGCCGCGGAGCCTTCCTCGACGACGTCGAGCAGCGCCTTGAGGACGTCTTCGTCCCACACTTGGCCGCCCTGCAACACCGAGGCGCTCATGAACTCGTCGTTCCTCGGGACGGCCAGCGCGCGCTTCTCCGCGACGGAGCCGACGCCCGGCGGGGCGAATGTCGGGGTGGAGTTCAAAGGCGTCAGACGGAGTTGAAAGGCGTCGAGGGCGGGGATTGAAACCGAGGGGCGGGCGGAGAGAAACGCCGGGTGGAAAAGTCCTTAAGGATCGGCGTTCACCACGCCAACGCGGTCGTATGGGGACCAGTGTATGGGACGCGCCTCAGACGACGCCGACGCCGACGTCGGAGAGACGCGCGTCGAGCGCGTCCTTGACGCGCGTCAGCGACGCGTCGAAATCGCCCCCCGTCGCGGCGTCGGCGGGCGTCGCGGCGACGGCGTTGGCATTCGCGGGCGCCTTCGTCGTCGGCGGCGGCGGCGGCGGCGGCGGCGGCGGGGGGGGGGGGGCGCGGCCGCGTTCGCCTTCGTCTCGTTCGGATCGTTGAAAGGCGTCAGATGGAGTTGAAAGGCATCGCGGTCGGGGATTGAAAGCGAGGGGTGGGCGGAGAGAGACGCCGGCAAAAGTCCTTAAGGAACGGCGTTCACCACGCCGACGCGGTCGTATGGGAACCAGTGTATAGAACGCACCTTCGTCGCGTCGATCTCTTCGAGCGTCGCGCGAACGATCGCGCGCACGTCCTGGGTCTCGAGACGCGCCCCGCCCGGCGCCGCGGTCGACGACGACGACGACGTTCCCGTTCCCGTCGTCCGAAAGCGCGTCGGCGCGCCCGCGGGGCCGCGGAGGACCGCGAACGCGGACGTCGTCGCGAGGAGGACGACGATCGCTGTCGTCGCCGCGTTGGAGGGTCTGAGGGCCGTTCCATACGAGCGAACGTCGGGGTGGAGTTCAAAGGCGTCAGATGGAGTTGAAAGGCGTCGAGGGCGGGTATTGAAAGCGTGGGGTGGGCGGAGAGAGACGACGGCAAAAGTCCTGAAGGATCGGCGTTCACCACGCCGACGCGGTCGTATGGGGACCAGTGTATAGAACGCGCCTGATGCAGCGCGGGGACGCGAACGGCGACATCTGTCGATCGGTCCGCGGCGCGCGGGGAGGAACCGGGCCGCCGGGATCGGATGAAGCGGGTCGACGACGGCTGCTGTGGCGTTCGAAGGTCTTGGCTCGCGAGCTGGGGGCGCTGGCGACGTGTGGCGAGGACGCGACGTTTCGGGCGCTCCCTCGGACGACTCGAGTCGACGTTTTGCTGACGAACGAAGTTTTAGGTCGAAGTTTTGTTTTCTGGAAGTTTTCTGGAAGTTTTGACTCTCGGACTATCGGACTACAGTACTGTACACTAGTGTACACGTACGTGTACACTGTAAACCGCGCGGAAGACAATTAACTCAAAAATCGACGGTTTAAAAACGCTTGACCGGAAGAAACTTTCTTCCGCGCGGGGTGATGAGAAGACATCAGCGCGTCAGCAGATTCGCTGTTATCCTTAAGGATATGTCAGCGCCGCGACGGCGAGCGACGCCGCGATCGCGGTCCTGTACGACGGGCGGAGCGATCGCGGGCGCGGGTGCGCGTGCGTCAGTCAGTGAAACGAAACGTCGTACCGGTCGAACGTGCGGTACGTTGAAAGGGAAGCGCGGCGGGCGAAGAGAAGAGAAGAGAGGAGAAACTTCCTCTCCGCGCGTCTCTCCGGGAAAAGCGCGCGACGCGGTCTGCTCACCAAAACCGTCCCCCCCCGACCCCCCCCGCCGCCGCGCTCCCCGACGTCGACACCTCCCGCCTCAGCGCGCGAACGAACTCCGCGGTCGGCGGCGCGCCCGACCGCGTCGCCGCGGCCACGACGTCGTCGACCGCGTCGCCGCGCGCCTGAATCGAGCGAACGTCGGGGTGGAGTTCAAAGGCGTCAGGTGGAGTTGAAAGGCGTCGAGGGCGTGGATTGAAAGCGAGGGACCCTGGGCGGAGAGATGCGCCGGCAAAAGTCCTCAAGGATCGGCGTTCACCACGCCGACGCGGTCGTATGGGGACCAGTGTATAGAACGCGCCTCGAACATCCGCGCCAGCGCGGCTCCGACGCCCCAACACTTCGACTTCGAATCGCACGCCGGCTTCCCGTCGCAACGTTCGCCGCCCGTCGCGTCCTCGCATCTCGTGCACATACTTCAGTAGTCGTCGAAGGTGGGGGGTGGGCGGTGGGAGGGGGACGGCACGGGCGCGCGACGCGTCGGTCAGTCGATGGGCTTCGCGGTCGGTCGACTCTCGTTCAAATCGAAACCGAAACCGAAACCGAAATCGAAACCGAAACCGAAACCGAAACCGAAACCGAAACCGAAACCGAAACCGAAACCGAAACCGAAACCGAAACCGAAACCGAAACCTTTCAACCGAGGCGGCGCGGCCCGAGGAGGGAGTCAGAGTTCGCGACGGAGGACGTCCTCGCGTATCCACGCACCTTCCCTCGGCGTACATGAACCAGAGCGCGTCGTGCGCGCACCGCGCCGGGACGACCCCCGCGCCGTCGGGGAGCACGCGCTCGGGCTTCCACGCGCACCCGGGGAGCTCGGGGGAGTCGCACGTCGCCGCGTCGGGGCCGTTCTGTACGACGTGATTTCCGCGTCGATCGGCGATTGATTGGTCAGTTCGAGATCGCATTCGGTGACGTGGCGACGTGTAGCGAATCATAATTCGATGATGGATCCGCGTGTGTTCGCGACAGACAGACAGACGTCGAGGCAGGCGGAGTTCGGGGGCGCGGCGGACGGAGTTGAAAGGCGTCTCGGGGCGTCGGGATCGACGACAGCGACGGCGGGCGGAGAGAAACGCGCGCCGGCGAAGTCGTCGCGCGCGCGTCGAGAAACGGCGTCGCGCCGCGCGAACGCAGGTCGTATGGGGGGGACCGGCGTGTGGGACGCGCCTCGTCCGCGCCGTCGCGCGCGCACAATAACTCTTTGAGCTTCACCTCTTGGAACTCTGAGGCGTTCGGTCGGTCGGTCGGTCGGTCGCAACGAACGTCGGTCAGTCGGTCGGTCGGTCGGTCAGTCGGTCGGTCGCGCGTCGCGCGATGAAACGGAGCGGAGCGCGGGTTGAACCCGAGGGACCCACCCTGGGCGGAGAGAAACGAAACGCGCGCCGGGAATGAAAAGTCCTTAAGGATCGGCGTTCACCACGCGAACGCCGTCGTATGGGGACCAGTGTAAATATGAACCAGCGACGCGAACGCGGTCGTGTGGGGAGCGGGCGGTGGTCTCACCTGGCGCCTCCAACATCGCGTCGACGACGAGCCCGTGGTCCACCGCGCACGTCGTCCCGTTGTGCCAGAGGCAGTTCGCGCTGAGGGTCATTGCCCATACGAGCGAACGTCGGGGTGGAGTTGAAAGGCGTCAGATGGAGGAGTTGAAAGGCGCCGAGGCGTGTCGGGTTTGAAAGCGAGGGGTAGGCGGAGAGAGACGCCGGGAGATAAAGTCCTTAAGGATCGGCGTTCACCGCGCGGACGCGGTCGTATGGGAACCAGTGTGATGAAATCGCACCTCGCGACGCAGCACTTCTCCGCGGCGCAGTCGTCGGTCACGGCGAGCGCGGCGCACCTCCGTATCGCGGTCGATGGAACGTATCGCGGTCAGTCGTGAGGGGACTCATCACGCGATGTCGACGTGTTGACGTGACGTCGCGGCGAGGGAGGAACGGGCGTGAGACGGGGGGACGTCTGGTGTGCCGCGCGAACGAAAAGTCCTTAAGGATCGGCTTTCACCACGCGAACGCCGTCGTATGGGAACCGGTGCAAATATGAACCAGCGGAACGCACCTCCAGTTCGCCGTCGCGTAGTCGCAGTAGGTCGCGACCGCGGGGTTGTTCACCTGGAGGAGCGCGCGCGCGGGGGCTCGCTGTCGTCGTCGTCGTCGTCGTCGCGCGAGAGGGAGACGGTCGTCGTCGTCGCGCGCGGACGCGGCGGCGGCGGCGGCGGCGGCGGACGCGCGGTGCGCGACGTCTGCGACGTCTGCGACGGCGTCGGGGGCTCGCGCGTCGCTCGCCGACGCGCCGCAGCGCGCGAGCGCGAGGATCGCGATCGCGACCGCGACGAGGAGGGCGCGGCGCGCGCGCATGCGCGCGAGCCCCGGTGGGAGCGGCCTTCGGTCGCGCGTCTTCCCACTTCGACGCGCGTCGTGCCCGCGAGTCGCGCGCGCGCGCAGATCGACGCGACGAATGATTATTGTCTCGTTCGGACACACGGCCGAGTAGCGTGCCTGACTGTGTACACGTGCACGTGATGTGTACACGTACTGTACACTACGCGTGCCGTGATCTTGTAGCCCTCAGCCCCCAAAACCGCGACTTTAAACCGCGACTTTAAGGTCATGGTGGTGTAATTCACGATTTCAGAAAGAAAGTACGAAATTTAGACTGAATACGCCTACAGATTGCAAAAACGTACTTTCGTACTTTCGTACTTTCGTACCTTCGTAGCCCTCAGCCCCCAAAACCGCGACTTTGAAACCGCGACTTTTCGCGCGAGCGCGAAAAGACGTACTGTACGTGTACTGTACCCTGTAGACGCGGGCGAGCAGTGATCAGATCTTGTCCGTTTATCAAGGGTGCATATGGTACAACGTCAGGTCGATTTCGTTGACACATCTACATCGCGACACAGCGCCTCGCGCGGGGGCCACGTAGCACTTCTGGCGTCATCGAGGGCGGTGATGCATGATATATGGCACAGGGTGATGCTGCGCGAGCGCGGGTAGCCCAGCGATGAATCTCGATGCCGCACGGCGCTCCTCGCCAACCCGCGGATGGGGCAAAAAAACCGAGACCTCCCGGACCCGTTCGCATTTTTCAGGTGAAAAAATTTCTCCTTTCCGCAGGGAAATATTTTTCGGCAGACGTCAGGGTCCGCGTGTTTGTGCGACCACGGCGTCGTCGGAAGGTCGTGAATGACTTTATCATAGTGGGAAGAAGTGATCTTCGTGATGTATATCATCAATATAAGTAAGAATATGACGTCGCTTACTGTCAAGAACACGATGTAATCGGCGCTTGAAAAGGCCAGTGGTCACTTTTTGCCAAAAACGTGCTGTCGCGTTTCCGTTCGAAAAACGCGCGAAAGGTGGGTCATCGGGTCATCTGTCGACGACGCGCGCGCCGGCGGCGGAAGGTGATATCGCGCGGCAGAATCACAGAGAAAGTTTCTCTTGACAATGATATAGATCGATTTATTGCATAATATTGGGTCGCTTACCGTCAATATTATCGCGTAACATGCGCGCGAGGCGCTGTGTCGCGATGTAGTTGTGCGAACGAAAAACGAGTTGACGTTGTACCATATGCACCCTTGATACCGTTCGATGTGACGTCAAACACCCCAATCGTAGACTCCTGTCTCCGCTCGCGCACTCGTCGCCGCGCTTCCCCGCGGCGGCGAGCGAGCGCACGCGTCGCGCGCGCGGGTCTCGACGCGCGAGCGCTCGATATCCGCGCCTCATGTCCTCCGACGACGCGCGACGCGCGGAGGCGACGCGCGGAGGAGATCACCCCCCTCGAGGAGACGCGCGGCAGCAGGAAACACGCGGCGGCGCGACGCACCGCGAGCGTTCGGCGCCCCCAACGCGCGCCGCCGCGAGGACGCGTCGAACGGCGCACGACGAATCCATCGCGTCGTTCGCGTCGAAGAAGTCCTCGCGCGCGTCGCCCCCGCGCCGCTCGAGTCGGTCAGTCGGTCGGGACGCGCCGGAGAGAAAGTCCTTAAGGATCGGCGTTCACCACGCGAACGGGGTCGTATGGGAACCAGTTTGGCGCCGCTCGCTCGTCGCGCGCGCCCTCGTCCTCGCGACGTGCGTCCTCGTCCTCGCGGGAGCGGTCCCTCCCGTCGGGGCTGGGCTCGAAAAACATCAGTACATGGGCGCGGGATTGCAGCACACGTGCGTCGTGCTCGACGACGGCAGGGCGGCGTGCTGGGGTGAAGCCGGGTCCGGAAAACTGCTAGGTTCAGGAGGCCCCGACGGCACTTGCGACTTCGGCACCGTGGACGGCACAGACGGCGGACCGATCCTCACCGTCAAGAGCGTCTCCGTCGGATACGAGCACTCGTGCGCCGTCCTCAGCAACGACCGGGTGAAGTGTTGGGGGAGACAGACCCCTACAGGTAATCGACTCGGCTGTGGTTCCGATTGCAACTGGAATGGGCACGCTGGTGTTGGGAACAGCTATCCGTACGTGAAATTTGCAGATGCAACAAAAGGCCCTTTCTTGGCGAAGGAGGTTGTCGCCGGAGCCAAGCACTCGTGCGCGATCACGACGGGTGATGAATTGTATTGCTGGGGAAAGAATAACGACGGGCAAGCCGACCCCGCGAGTACTGCTAACTCCATCGATGTTCCGACGGCTAAAATTATCTTTAATGCACCACAAGTTAGCGTGGGCCGCAGGCTTTCACAGTCGGTAGTCACGTACAAGCCTGTGAGCGTCTCGCTCGGGTGGTCGCACACGTGCGCGATTTTATCACCCTCAGACGACGGGAATCCAGTCGTGAGGTGCTGGGGGAGCAATAATCGTGGGCAACTCGGTCATGGTCATCAATTAGGCCCTCATACTTCCGGGTATGTACTGAGCCGCGATGACGTGAACTTTGGCGGTGGTCGTCACGCGGTTCAAATCGTCGCCGGATACGAATCCAATTGCGCACTTCTCGATAACACCGAGGTGATGTGCTGGGGAAAGGGGCTTCATGGACGACTGGGCAACGGTGCTACGGATGACGTATCTTCACCGGGAGTGTCGGTGGGTTGTACCTCGGGGCAGGTCAATTGCGTGACTTCAAGCTTGAAGGCGAAAAGTTTGTCCTTGGGCACGGCGAGCGCGAGACATTTCTGTGCCATCGAGAAAGAATCGGAGACGGTCAAGTGTTGGGGTGACAACAATGAAGGACAGCTCGGGATCGCCACCACCACAGCGTTTTCATTTTTGCCACAGGAGGTCGACTTGAAATTGTTAAAAAGCACGGACGACGCGACTCTGGCCGCGAGCATTGTCGATTTGACGATCAGCGGCGGACCTTGGGCGTCCGCCGACACGTGGTCGACGGAGGAAGCGGATTTGTACGAGACGGACCAGAAGGTGATGTACCTGGTAAACGGCGAAGTTCACACGTGCGCTATACTCGCAGATTATTACACCATCAGATGCTGGGGCCATAACGATAGGGGGCAACTTGGGGATGGCACGACAGACGACTACAGCACGCTGGCCACGGACGCCACCCAATACACCAAGTACGTGAACCTGGGTTACGAAGCGATAAATCGCCGCACGCCCGGTCGAATACCGAGGTACCACAACAGCTTGTGTACGTGTCGCGTTGCGACGTGCAAGCCCAGTAACTTGCAGCCGGCGACGAAGTGGCACACGTGCGGCGATTACAGCGACACGGACGAGACCATCGATGACAACGTCTACGTCTACGGAGGCACCGTGCAAACACTCGACTTTTCCAGTGTCGTGACCTTTAACGGTCGCGTGGAGTTGCTCGACGCGGACGCGCTCGTGAGCGTGGACTTTTCGAACGTCGTATCGATCCGCGAGTTCTTGCACGTGCGCGAAAACGACGAGTTGACTTCGTTCGCCACGGACAAGTTGATGACCGTTGGGAGCGGCGACTCCGCCGCGCACGGCATCGAAGTGCGTTTCAACGATGTCCTCTCGAAATTCAGCTTCCCCGCGTGGACCAAAGTTAAAGGCGGGGTTATGGTCGTGGGAAACCCGCTGCTCACAGAAATTTACGCACCTCTGCTCGAGCAAGCCAACGGGCACATGATCAGCGGCGGCGAGGATAAAAACTCGGCCGGCGTACTGAAATCCGACCCCTCGACGATATCAATAACCTCGTTGTGCCCGTGCGATATCCCACAATTAGTGGGTTGTGAGAGGGTGTGCGGAACGTACAACGACGACGAGGCCAAGTGCAATGCGTTAAGTGTAAGAAGTCCTAATTTCGATGGACCAAATTGGTGCGTTTGGCGTGAGGGTAAATGTCAGTCCAACGTCGGTATGTCGCCGTGCCCGAGACCGGGTGAATCTGCGCAGGAAAGGAGAACAACTCAGGGTACGTTCGACTATTGTGAGCGTGTCAACCATTTCTACGACGGCGCGAGCGGTGCAGATGTAGGACGTCGGACGATCCCGATAACTTCTTCCGATCTCGATATGACATCAGACATTATCGTAGTGTGTGCCAGGGACGTGATCGATACGGCGACCACCATCCTCGCCGGAGAAGACGTCGCGCCGGAGGACGACGCGTGCAAAGCCAACAACGGCGGCTGTTCCGATATCGTGTCGTGCACGCCCGGCGTCGGCGGTGTCGTCCACTGCGGCGCGTGCCCGCAAGGGTACTCTGGAAACGGCGTCGTCTCCTCGCCGGCGAGCGACACCGGTGCGTGGTTTATCGCGCGAGGACATACACTGGTCCCCATACGACCGCGTCGGCGTGGTGAACGCCGATCCTTAAGGAATTTGCCCTGCGTGTCTCTCCGCTCACGCCTCGCTTTCAATCCCCGACCTCGACGCCTTTCAACTCCAACTGACGCCTTTCAACTCCACCCCGACATTACAGCGCCCGCGAACGGATGCGCGGACGTGAACGAATGCTCGGAGGACAACGGCGGGTGCGGCGACTCCGTCGCGTGCGTGAACACGGAGGGAGGTCGCGTGTGCGGGGCGAGCACCAGCGGGGGCGAATGCTTCGTGAACTACGGAGGGTGCGACCCTCTCACGACGTGCTCGGATCCCGACGACGACGCGACGAACGGTAACGCCCAGTGCGGAGTCTGTCCCAGCGGATATTATTCCCTCGCGAGTGGGAAATGCGCGCGAGACGACGCGTGCGCTTCCTCTCCGTGTTCCGCCGGCACGACGTGCACGCCCGACGCACCTCCTGGCGTCAGCTACACGTGTGTTGATGCGTGCGTTGGCGGCGAGTGCGGGGGGAAGTGCCCGCAAGGCATGAAAGGCGACGGCCAAACGTGCACGGCGCGTTCTATACACTGGTCCCCATACGACCGCGTTCGCGTGGTGAACGCCGATCCTTAAGGAATTTTGCCGTCGTCTCTCTCCGCCCACCCCTCGCTTTCAATCCCCGCCCTCGACGCCTTTCAACTCCATCTGACGCCTTTCAACTCCACCCCGACATTCGCTCGTACAGCTGTGCACGATGTCCGCGAGCATCACGGGCGTCTCTACCGTAGAGAGCGGCACGATCGCGAGAGGGTTGCAGAATAAGATCGTCACGAACATCGTGTACATGGACCCGACGTGCACGAACGACCAAGGGTACGGATTTCTGTGGAGAATCGTCGACACGAGCGACGGAAGTCAAATCGCGCTCGAAGAGTCGACGACGAAATCAAACACGCGGCAGCTCTTTCTGCCGCCGCGAACCTTGCCCGAGGGAAGGACGTACGCGATTCGCTTCGACACGTTCAACAAAGGCAACCCAGCGGTCGCCGCGTCCGTGAACGTGATCTTATTCGTGAAGGCGTCCCCGCTCGAGCCCGTCGTCGAGGGCGGGTCGTTAGGTGCGTTCTATACACTGGTCCCCATACGACCGCGTTCGCGTGGTGAACGCCGATCCTTAAGGACTTTTCCCGGCGTTTCTCTGCGCCTGGGCCCTCGCTTTCAATCCCCGACCGCGACGCCTTTCAACGCCAATTGACGCCTTTCAACTCCACCCCGACGTCGCTTTGTATGGAACGACCCTTAGTCCCCGACGGCGTCGTCTTCGCGCTCGGCGTCGCGTTCACGCTAGACGCGTCGAAATCCATCGACCCCGACGAAGAGAGCAACCCGTGGTCGTACCAGTGGGAGTGTATCAAAACCGACGCATCGGGGAACACGATCGGGGGAACGCCGTGCGGGAGTCACGGCGCCGCGGCGTGGTCGAACTTCGCGCCCCCGGACGAGGGGTACTACGCCTTCCGAGTCACCGTGTCGAAGGGGGTCAGATCCGCGACGGCGACGCGGTACGTCCACGTCGTGAACGGCGCGGCGAACTCGCCGAGCGTCTCGATCGCGCCGATACCGGGCGGAGTCGTGAACGCGGGATCGCGCGCGCGTCTGTCCGCGACGGTGACGTCCTCCGCTTCGAGCGAGACGAGGACGATGGCGTGGACGGCGAAAAGGTACGTTCTCGTTTCACACTGGTCCCCATGCGACCGCGTCGGCGTGGTGAACGCCGATCCTTGAGGACTTTTCTTCCCGGCGTGTCTCTCCGCCCATCCCTCGCTTTCGATCCCCGCCATCGACGCCTTTCAACTCCGCTTCTGACGCCTTTCAACTCCAACGCGAAAAGGTACGAGTTGACGGCCGCCGGCGCGATCGACATCGCGTCGGCCGTGACCGTCGACCTCGACGCCGCGGGCTTCCTCGCGATCGATAGCACGACGACGTCCAAGCTCGTGTTAGCCCCCCACGCTCTCGGTAGAGACGGCGACACGCTGTATTCGTACGCGTTCGCTATCGACGTGTCGGACGCGAACGGCGCAGCGAAGGCGTCGATCGATTTGCGACGGAACGTTTCGCCAGTCGCGGGCATGGTCGCCGCGCTTCCCGTGAAGGGCGTCGCCGCGCAGACGACGTTCGCGATCGCCGTCGGCGATGGATCGCTCGACCCGGACGGGCATTTGCCACTGATGATACGCTTCACCGCGCTCGTCAAGGGCGCGCCCGCGTATCAATCGCGCTTGCTTCAAGACTACAGGCGCGTCCCATCTGCGCATTTGCGCGTGCAAATGTTTTTCACCCGTCCATCGCATTCCTTATTTATTAAGGTCCCAGTAGCCCTACACGTACAGTACGAGCGGTTTCAACATTTGATCGAGACGCCTTCCGACTGACTGACCGATGAACATGAATCCCAACCCGGAATCGCCCGTATCCGCAGCCCGCGGAAGACGTGGAAAGGCACGCTGCCGGGGGGATCTAGAGACCACGGATACGTCGTGACCGTTTCCGCGCAGGCGATGGATAAACTCGGCGCGGTCTCACCCGCGAAATCCGTCGACGTCGTCGTGGAATGGCCGACGCTGCCGTCGGAGCGCGCGGTGACCGATGCGAGCGCGGAGAAGCTCGCGGCGGCGGAGTCAGGTGCGTTCTATACACACGTTTTTCACCCACCTATCGGTTTCAACATTCATTTGATTGCGTCCCTTTTCAAAACGCTGACCGATGAACATTCATTTTTTGTATGGAACGGCCCTCAGCGTTTTTGAACGGCGAGTCCGAGACCGCGCTGTCGCACATCGCGAACGCGTGCGATCAGATGCTCGACTTCAAAGAAACGCAGAGACGCCGGCGTCGACGCGGCCGCGCGCTTCTCGAGTCGTCGTCCGTCTCCGCGTCGTCGCCGTTTAACGACCCGTGCGCGCCGCAGTCGGACATGCGGGACCGAGCCACACAAAGAAGTCGGATGATGATTCTCACGGAGTCCGCGAAGAAGACGATGCCGTCGTCCGACTCGTTCGCGACCGGCATCGCGGACGTGGCCCGTCGAATCCTCTCGGACCCGTGCGAATCCACGCCGGAGACGCGCGGTAAGGGCGTCGACCTCGTGGACACGTTGCTCGCGGACGCGGAGGCGAATAAGGCGCGTTCTGTCTCACACTGGTTCCCATACGACCGCGTTCGCGTGGTGAACGCCGATCCTTAAGGACTTTATCTCCCGGCGTTCGTCTCTCTCCGCCCACGCCTCGCTTTCAATCCCGACGCACACACCTCGACGCCTTTCAACTCCGCTTCTGACGCCTTTCAACTCCACCCCGACGTTACAGGATTTGTCCATGAGCGAGGAGGTGAGCGTCAACGCGTTGGGCGCGCTGTCTTCCGCGGTCGCGCCCGCGGTGCCGGGGTACGGGGATAAAAACGCCGCGCTGACGTACGCGAAGGCGACGGACGCGGCGAAGACGATGATGGCGCGATGTCTCGATCGCACGGTGGAGGGCGAGCCGACGATCAGCGTCGTGTCGCCGGAGATGGAAATCAACGCGCGGCGCGCAGCGACGGCGGCTACCGGGACGGATAGCGCCGTCGCCTCCGTCTCCGGCGCGTCCACGGTCAACGTGTCGAACGACGTGCTGCGCGCTCAGGGCGGGGGCGGGGATACGATGGACATGAAACTGCTGTCGATGAACTTCGACCCGCACGCGTTGAATCAGCAGAGCTCGTCCTACGGCTTGAACGGCGCGACCGAGACGTTGTACGTCGCGAGCGTCGGCGGCGACATCGAAATCATCTTGCGACACGCGCGCGTCGCCGCGACGGAGTCGCTCGTCGTGTCGTCCGTCGGCGCGGGCGCGGCGGACGTGGAGATACGCGATCCCGCGAAGCCGGTGGAGTGGAAGCTCGCGGTTCGCCGCGGGCGACCCGGGGCGGACACGTGCGCGGCTGGAGGTGAGACTAGACTGCTTCCCATACGACCCCGTTCGCGATGTGAACGCCGTTCCTTAAGGACTTTTCCCGTCGTCACTCTTCACCCGCGCTTCCCTTTCAACGTTTGACCGGTGAGACGTTCGACTGACCGATCGCTTCACCCACGCAGGAGGAGGAGGACGCGGACCGACGAGAGGCGGCGGGGACAAGTACGCGTGCAGATTTTTCGACGCCGCGAAGGGCAGGCGCGTTCCATCTCACACTGGTCCCCATACGACCGCGTTCGCGTGGTGAACGCCGATCCTTAAGGACTTTACTTCCCGGCGTTCGTTTCTCTCCGCCCATCACACCTCGCTGGTTTCAATCCCGACACACCTCCCTCGACGCCTTTCAACTCCGCTTCTGACGCCTTTGAACTCCACCCCGATATCATCGCTCGTATGGAACGCCGCGCAAGGTACGAGACCGACGGCTGCGCGACGCTACCGAACCCGCTCCCTCGCGGCGCGCGCGCGGCGTGGATCGAAGGCGCGGCGGAGAACACCGCGGCGTTTCAGAGCGCGGGGTACGACTACTCGCGAACGCACGCGTCGTTTCTGTGGAAACTTGACGGCGCCGAGACGTTTTTGAACGGGTGCGAGGAGCGCGAGGTTCGAGGCGGCGCGATGCGCATGCGGTCGTGGACGGGCAAGAACTGCGTCGCGGAAGATCCAAACAACGCGTTCGGTTGTTATTGGCGGTACGACGCGCAAGCGTTTGAAGGATGCGGTTGCGTCGTCGCGGCGGCGGCGACGTGCCTGTGCGATCGTGTCGCCGACGTGACCGTATCCGAGTACAAGATCGACACCGTTTCCCTCGACGAGCTCACGTCTCTTTCCACCGGGGACGTTCTGAACACGTGGCGCGTTCTCGCCGTCGTCGGCGGGATGTTCTTCGGGTCCTTGCTCTTGGCGTCCGCGCTTCACTTGAGAGCGACGCTCGGCAAGCGAAGGCTGCTCAGGTGCGTTCTGCTATACAAAAATATACTTTTCACCCATCGCTCGGTTTCAACCTTTGATCGCGTGGGCCCCTTTCAACTGACCGATGAACTGTTTTGGAATGGCCCTCATCAGACGTCTCGTCGACCCCGCGAAAAATCGCGACTTGGGTTTCGCCGTCGTCCAACGCGTTTGGACGTGGCACATCGACGTCCAAGAGATGCAGTTCATGTTCAACGCCACGCACCGCGCGAACGACGAAGACGCCGTCGCCGCCGCGCTTCTCGCTTCTCACGACGCCAAAGGCGACTACGACGCGGCGGCGGCGTCAAAGTTGGAGACGCGGAGGCGGATGCTCGAACTCGAACGCGAGGGCGTCGAAGGCGACGCCGCGGCGGCGGACGTCGCGCGCGCGGTCGAACGCCGCGTGGAGGAGTATAAACGCGGCGCTCGAACGATCGCGGGGTTGCCCTCGTGCGATAAGGCGCGTCTCACCATACGCGGGTGCCCATACGACCGCGTCGGCGCCGATACCATCGCCGTTCCTCGAGGACTTTTCCCGCGCGCGCGCGTTTTTTTTTCTCTTAGCCCAGGATGCCCCGGTGGGTTTCAATCCCGACGCACGCACCTCGACGCCTTTCAACTCCGCTTCTGACGCCTTTGAACTCCACCCTGATCCTGATGACGTCGTCGCTTCGTATGGAACGACCTTAAGATGCCCACGGACCGACTCGTCGCCGCGGGGGTGGACCCAGAGGCTGTGGACCGCGCGACGACGGAGTTGGACGCGGAGATCGACGACGCCGTCGGCGCCGACGTCGTGACGCGCGGCGGTCGCGTCGGCGTCGAAGTGTACGCGCGCGGAGGGCGAACGTTTTACGAGCTGTCGACGGCCGAATCGTTCGAGTCGTCGGAGGCGAGAGGAACGCGCGTTCACCAAACGGCGGGGGCGGCGACCCGCGACGCGAGAGAAGAAGATGGCACAGAAATAGAAGGGCCCGGGGACGAACGAGAAGCGCGTATGAGCAAACAGTCCGCCGCCGCCCGAGCCGTCGTCGAGGCTGTCGAGATCTCGGAGGAGGCTCCGAGTCGCTCCTCGAGGGGGGACGCGGGACTCGTTCCCGTGAAGCAAAGACGCGGCTGGGCGCCGCGTGTGTTCGCGGCTTCGGAGGAGGAGGCGACGACGACGACGAGACAGCTTCTCGCACGATCCCGTTCGCGCGGCGCGCGCCGTTCCTTGAGGACTTTTACCAGCCGTAAAGGAGACGGCGACGACGAGGGAGTGACCGCGATGAACGAGAAGCGAGCGGGTCGCTCGAACGCGCCTCCGGATTCGGCTCCGATGACGTTCGCGAAGATCCGGAAGATCTCTCGACGCGAAGGCGAAGGCGGCGGGATGACGTGGCGTCGGTTTTCGAGTCGTCGTCCGCCGCCGCCGCCGGAGAAAATAACCGCCGCGGCGCTTCCGGTCGCGACGCGAAACGGCGAGACGTTTTGCAAAGCATGCGGTCTCCCGTACGTCCGATTCCTCATCGCGTTCCCGATGGAGCAATGCCGAAAGAAACTCAAGGAATGGCGCGACGACCGGAACATACATAACACCGAAATCACCGCGGTCCTGCCCTTCGGTAGAGCCGTCGGCACCGCGATGGCGTACGCCTACCTGGACGTGAACAACGTCGTCTCGCACGACGAAATCGGTCGACGGAAGTACGACGCCGCGCAGCTCCCGTGGTACCTCCCCGACGGCCTCACGTTCCCGACCCTCGTGGAGGAGTTCAAACTGATGATGACGAACAACCTGAAGAAGGTCGGGTGGACGCGACGCGCGATGCTGTGGAACATCGTGTCGTTACGAGGCAAAGACGGCGGGTGGTCCCCCACCGACGCGCTCGCGGTGAGACTGCTTCCCATACGACCCCGTTCGCGTGGTGCACGCCGTTCCTTAAGGACTTTTCCCGTCGTCTCTCTTCACCCGCGCTTTCCTTTCAACGTTTGACCGGTAAGACGTTCGACTGACCGATCGCTTCACCCACGCAGGCGGCGTTGAAAGCCGCGGGCCCGCCCACCGCGTGCGCGTCCATGCCCGCGACGGGTAGCGACGCGCCGACGCTGAAGAGCCATCACGACGCCGCGGTGTTAACGCGCGCTGTCCCACTCGAGCTCGCGAAAGCCGCGCGCGATGTCGGTTGGAGGAGGGTGGAGAGGACGTGGTGCACGCTGCTCGCGTTGGCGGCGTGCGAAATATACGAGTTGGGATGGGTCGTAAACCCGTGGGACGAATCGTTCGAGCCGTACGACATCGCGCAGCACGGGTGGACGTTCGTTCAGAAGAACCTCGCGGGAACGTCCCCGGAGATGGCGGACGCGGTGTTGCGCGGGAGAAACGCGGCGAAAATTGCGGTCACGGCGTGGTGCGAGTCGCATTCGGACGCGATCGAAGGGTTACGCGAGCAGCGGATCGCGGAGGCGGCGGAGAAGAAAAAAGACGAAAAAAAAACGCGTCCGATCGTCGTCGTCGCCCTCGCGGCGATTTGGTTCTGGCTCACGCGTCCGATGCTCTTCGCGCGCGCGGCGTGGGCGTTCTTGAAGTTCATCGTACACGCGTACTGCGAAGCGCACATGTTCTTCAGGGCGTTTCTCGCGCCGGCGACGGCGCAATTTACGGGCGCGCAGCGCCTCTTCGTGCAGTCGTCCATCTACCTCATGGGACTGCTCATCTGCGTGTGGATGTATTCGAGCCGCGCGACGCAGTGTTGCGTCGCCGTGCGCGAAGCGCTCGGGTGCACGCCGAACATCATGGACGCGTGCATAAACGTCGATCCCGGGGAAGGGTGCGTCGTGTTGATGCGCGCGACGAGACGGTTGCTCCCCCCGAAGTGGAAGTGCGACGCGTTCCCAGCGAGAGGCAACCTCCGGCACACGTTCGCGGTGATCGGGATTCAGGTGCGTTTGTTGCGAAAGTTTGTTTTTCACCCATCGCCCGGTTTCAACATTTGATCGATCGCGTGGGTCCCTTTCAACTGATGACCGATGAACTGTATTGTATGGAACGGCATATAACAGGTGATCATGTCGCTCCCGACGCGTTTCGTCCTGAGCTCGCTGTTCGCGTTGGGCGGCGCCAGCGTCTCCGCGCCGCACTACAAGGAATCCGTGATGAAGGCGGGGATGAACACCGCGGAGGTTTTAGCCTCGTGGTGTGAATCCTTATACGAGTTCGTCACAAACGCGGGATCGGGCGCGCCCGCGGCGAGCGAACGCGGGGGTGAGACTGCCTCCCATACGACCCCGTTCGCGTGGTGAACGCCGATCCTTAAGGACTTTTGCCGTCGTCACTCTTCGCCCGCGCTTCCCTTTCAACGTTTGACCGGTAAGACGTTCGACTGACCGATCGCTTCACCCACGCAGGGACGTTCGGGGCCGCGGTGAAGCGTACGCTCGAGATGTGCGGGTTGTACCAGAGCGCTCTCGCGACGTCGAAGGCGGTGTCCTCCACGTGCAGAGGTGCGCCACGAAGGAAGTACCGTACCGTCGAGGAGATAATTGGCGAGATCGAGGCGCTCGCGCGAAGCGCCGACGTCGCGACGACGGACCGGGACGCGCCTCCATTTGTGCGGCGGAGCAGAGCTGTTGATTTCCATTTTTTCGACGGCTCAGGTGCGTTCTATACAAACGTATTTCACCCATCGCCCGGTTTCAACATTTGATCGCGTCCCCTTTCAACTGACCGATGAACATTTTTTGTATGGAATGGCCCTCAGAATCTTTCGTGAAACCGTGGGATCATATGAAGATCGGCGAAGACAAGGAGGTCGCGTTCGGCGGCCATCACGTGACGAAGCCGTTTAAAGATGACACTTCGCGGTTGGAGGGAGGTGTAGATCGCGAACACGTGGACGACGACGCCGGTGGTAAAAGCCGGCAAAAGGAGGTCGTCCTTCGCTGGATCGCATCCCAAGAGAAAGACGCGGTGCGTCGCGCGACGCGTACGTTCTCGCAAGATGATATGAGATCGGAGCGCAGGAAATACCTTCGAAGAGTTAAAACGAGCTCCTCGCGCGTGTTGAAGCTCGCGTGGTGCCTCTTCGCGCTGTACTGGCTCGTGTGCTGCTACCTCATCATCGTCTACGGCGTTTTGATATATCGATACATGGGCGCCGGGGAGGAGGGTGCGTACATCACGACGTGGGGGATGACGTTTTTGCTCGTCAACTTTGGTCTCTTATCGTTGGTGATCGTCGGAAGGAAAGCGTTCTACAAGACGTTCTACAACACCTGGCGAAAAATGTTCACGCCGCATTTCGAGCTGAACGCGTGGTACGAAGCGTACCTCGAACGCGTCGGCGGCGTTTTACTCGAGCGCAACGCGGACGGCTTGAAGGCTGCCGCCGCCATCGCGCCGAGAGGCGCCAGCGCGAAAGTCGCGCCGGCACCGCCGCCGCATCTCCTGCCGCCACATACCGATTCAGGGAACGACGACGATTCGTTCGTGCCGATCGATCCCACGATGAAGACGCGCTGGAAAGCAGCGATGACCTCCGCGAGGGCGCACGCGAACCTCAACGTCGCGATGGACTTTGCATCTTTGTCGCGCGAGCGCATGCGTAGAACTATCGAGGCCGCGGAGGTGCAGCACGCGACGACCCTTCGGTTGCTTCACGGAGTCGAGGTGAACGACGCCGACGTCGACACCGCTACCATCGTGCACGACGATTTGCTCGAGATGGTCGCGGAGTCACATAGGGCGCTCGAGAGGATGAAAGTTATCGAGGGCAACATCGAGGGCGAACGCGAAGAGGCGCGGAAAAAGCTGTTGAAGCGATTGGGGTCGAAACAGGCTGATGAAAACGGAGACGGCGACGACGGCGACGACGGCGACGACGGCGACGACGGCTACGACGGCGACGACGGCGACGACGGCGACGACGGCGACGACGGCGAAGAAAGACGCGCTCCAGTCGCGGATGACTGAGCTGCGGGCGAACTTGAAGGCGAAGAAGAATTAGTTGACTTTAATGACTACCTTAACGTTGTAGCTAGCTGGGGACGCGCTGCTGTGCGTCGCGTCTCCGAGTCCTTAAGAAACGGCGTTCACATCGCGAACGCGGTCGTATGGGAACCAGTCTCACGGCGTCAACGCTTCCCGCCGCCGCCGCCGTCGAGCAGCCGCAGCCGCGATCGAATCGCGCCGCGCGACCGCCCGTGTTCGCACGCCATCCGCGCGATATCCCACCCCGCGTTCCTCTCGCGCCGCAGCCGCGCGTCCTCGCGCGCGTCCCAGCTCGAGCCCGCGCGAAGAACCCTCGCGTCCTCGCGCGCGCACCGGTCGCCGCCGCGCGGGGGCGGGCGCGGGGGCGTGCCAACTTTCGTCGGCAGCGTGCCAACTTTCGTCGGCGGCGTGCCAACTTTCGTCCGCCTCCTCGCGAAGATCGTCGACTCCGGGCCGTTCTATACGAGCGAACGTCGGGGTGGAGTTCAAAGGCGTCGGTTGAAGTTGAAAGGCGCCGAGGGTGGGTATTGAAAGCGAGGGGTGGACGGAGAGACACGACGGGCAAAGTCCTTAAGGATCGGCGTTCACCACGCCGACGCGGTCGTATGGGGACCAGTTTGAGATAGAACGCACCTCCATCGCGCGCGCGCTCGGAGACGCGACGCACAGCAGCGCGACGACGACGAGGACGACGATGAAGAGGACGAGCGCGCCGAGGACGGGCGGCGTCCCGATGATCCGCGCGTCTCGTTCGCGCGCGACGCGCGGGCCCCCCGCGACGATCCCGCCGCGATCGTCGGCGCCGTCCGTCGTCGTCGTCGTCGTCGTCGCGCTGCTACGATCCCGCCGCGACCGCGTCGAGGCGGACGCGGCGGTGACGCGCGCGGAGGACTGATCGCTCGCCTCGCGCGCGGCCGCGGGGCGGTACGTCATCGTGACCTCGCTCGCCGACGCGCTCGAGGCGCTTCGCGTGCGCGCCATCGTCAGGTCGGCAGCGCGTCGTCGTCGTCGAACGACGCGCCCGCTGCTCTGTTTTTTGGTTCTCGACCAGACTCTTTCGGTTTCAGTTCGTTCTGTTCTGTTCTGTTTTCCTCGGACGACAGGACGCGCGCGCTCGTTTTTTCGTCCCCGCGCGACCTGCGACGATTCCTCGGACGCGCCGCCGCCGCCGCCCGAGAGGGTGTCGAGGCGTGTGCCCTGTTTTCCGCGCTCGTGCCCAATGACCGTTGCGTATCGCGCGCCGCGCCGCGCCTGCGAAAAAGCCGCCGAAAATCCAAGAATAACCACGACAGTACTGTATCGGAGAGAGTCAGCCGCCTCCGCCGCCGCCACTTCCGCGCGCACGCCGACGTCACCCGACGTCGACGCACCCGCGGTTCTCCGCGTATCGCCCCGCGCGCCTCCGCGTTCGCCGCGTCCCGCGCGAACACCCCCGCGACCGCCGCGCCGTCCCCGCGCGCGCCCCCGCACTCCGAACAGGCGCGCAGGTCTCCGAACAGAACAGAAACCCCGCGCTCGCTCTCGCGCGGAGCGCGCGCTCGCCCGCCGCTGACGCCCTCGCGACCGTTCCCGTCCGCAGCCCGCGCGAGAATGATCCGCGCCGTCCTCGTCGCGACCGTCGCGCGCGTCGCCGCCCTCGGCGGCGCGCGCGACGCCGCCCCGTGCGCCGCCTCAGGACGAACGACGACGATAACGCCAACGGCGACCGCCCGCGCGTCGCGCTCGCGCTCGCGCTCGCGCTCGTCCTCGCGCTGTCCGCGTGCGCGGGACTCGCGGACGCGCAGGGGACGCCGCGCGCGACGACGCCGACCGTGACGCCGCGCGGGGGCGCCCTCCTCAACGCGAAGCGCCCGGCCGCCGACGCACGTGCGTCCGCGATACGGACGCGTATCGCGCGCGCGCTTTTTCGCGCTGCGCTTTCTTTTTTTCCCCGCGTCGCGTCGTCGCGCGTCGCTCGCTTTCTTTCAGCCGCCGCCGCGGCGGCGGCGGCGGCGCGGCGGACGAACGCGCCCGCGCGCGACCCGACTGATCCCCGCCCGGCCGCGTCCGCGATCGCAGGCAACGCGGGGAATGCCGTGTCGCGCCCGCCCAACTCCGCCGCGCGCCCGAACGGCGGCGCGGGGGGACGCGCGTCGGACGGCGACGCCGCGTCGCGCGCCGCCATCACCGGCGGCGGCTCGACCGGCGGCCGCTCGACCGCCTCCGGCAAGGTGACCGACGGCACCGTCTGCACCGAGCACGAGTGCTGCGTGCAGACCTGCAAGGATGACCTCGCGACGTGCAACGACGATTTGTTGACGGTCGAGTGCCCCGCGACGCCCCGGACCCAGCTCGAGTGCCTGCTCGAGTTCAAGTGCTGCATCTACAACACGTAAGGCGCCCGCGACGCGTCGTTTTGTTTCGTTTTCGTTTTCTTTCTCCGCCGCGCCGCGCCGCGCCGCCGTGATTATTATATTTTCTTCGCCGCGCGACCCTCGACGCAGCTGCGGCGATCCCGAGTGCGTCGACGACGATTGCAACGGCAACGGTGGTCAGTGCAAAGATGAGACTGCCGTATGTGACCCTGGTGTGGACTGCACCATCAACCCGGAAAACAATCCGGATTGCTGCTGCGCGCCCAACGTGTGCGTGCCCGGTTTGGAACCGAGTGCGGGTACGTGCGAGCCCGACGGCGTCAGCTGCGGAGACCCCGACACCGCGTTCGCCTACCTGCCAGAGACTGGCGCCTGTCCCGATAACACCGCAGATCTCGATAAAACGACTCTTCAGACGTTCGCGTACAAAAACCTCAACGGACCTCCCGCCAAGGATACCAAACCAAACTGCGATTTGACGTCCGCGGCGGTCCCGGGTCACAATGCTGATTGCGGCGGCGGGGGCGGCGCTTGGGGCTGGGAGAACCTCGTTCCTCTCGAAGGGGGTACCACACTCACGCTTCGCTCCGGCGCGGCGCAGAACAACATCGAAACCAAAGGCTTCGAGGTCGGAACGGTCACTGTCCAAGCCGATGCAGATGGATCGGTCGTCATCGGGCCCCTCGTACTGGTGCGTTTCTCCGCGCCGCCGCGCTCGTTCGCGCGCGATGCGACGCCTCCCTCCGCGAATCTTTCGAACCGATCTAACCCGACATTGTCGTCTCGCAGGTTTCTCAACCTACTGGTTGCAGGATCGTGGAAAGTGAAGCGCTCAAGGCTGGAGGTGAGCGACTGCGTTTTTTTTCGTTTTGAAACCCGCGACGCGACGCGATTTCCCCCCGCGCGACGATTCACTGACCGCGCGTCCCCGTCGTCGCAGTCTCGTGCACGTCATGTTGCGACACTGTTGATTCACCTGGGTGGGCTTGCGGAAACACCGGGGTCGGAAACGGCTGGGTTGAATACACGCCAAACGGAGCGGTCACACCATTTCAGGGGGCCGGCAGTTGCACTGGTGCCGTCTGGGTCAGCATCCACGGCAGTTACGAACTCTTCTGCGAAGATCTTGCTTCGTGCCCATAGGCGACTAAGCCGCGACTGCCCGTTCGCGGTCACCGCGCCCGCGCACGGACCTGAAGCACCGCGACCCACGAACCGCGATCCAAGATCCACGAACCACGAACGAAGAACGAAGAACGGCGCCACCGCGCCCGCGCGACCACCCGCTCGCGCCGCGACGATCGAACCGATGCGCTCGACGCCGTCTGAGACGCGCGACACGAGCAGACGACACGACACGACATGATACGATACGATACGATACGATACGATACGACGCGCACGAAAAAACTCGACGCCGGAGAGACGGCGCGCGGGCGAGCCTCCCACGCCGCCGTCGTCCAGAACCACCGGACGCGGCGACACAACGCTACCGCAGCGCCGTTGTAATACACGCTGAGCTCTACGTCGAGACCAAAAAAAAAAAACCAACGTCATCACGCGCGCGCCACAGTACGAATACCCCCCGTTCCGCTTCACTTCGCTTTCGCGTCGCCGTCGCCGTCGCCGTCGCCGCCGCCGCCGCCGCCGCCGCCGCCGCTCGCCGCGCCCTCCCGCAGCGCGTCCCAAATCGCGCGCGCGTCGCACCCGCGCCGACGGAACGGCACCAACGCCCCCGGGACGTCCCCGGCGTCGTTCTCTGCCGTCGCCGCGGCGCGCGCGTTTCGATTTCGGCCATCTCCGCGTTCGCCTCCTCCTCCCCTCTTCGCGACGACCGACATCATCGCCCTCACCGCGCGCACGTCGCACGCCGCGCACGCGTCGTGCACCGGCGTGTTCCCCGCGTCGTCCCTCGCGGCGACGTCGGCGCCGTACTTGAGAAGCGCGCCGACGATCCGCGGGTCCGACACTTTGTCCGACACTTTGTCTGATGACACTTTGTCCGACGTTTTGTCCGACGTTTCGTCCGCCGCCGCCGCCTTGGCGCACGCCACGTGCAGCGCCGTCTGTCCCCTCGACCGCGCGCCGTACGCGGCCGGTATCGCGTCGCTGATCTCCCCGACTTTCAGATCGACATCCGCGGCGCCGTCGCCGAGCAGTCGAACGAGCGCGGCGACGCGCCCGTGGCCCGCCGCCTTGTGTATCGCGGCGACGCCGAAGTCGTCTCTCGCGTTGACGTCCGCGCCGAGCGTCAGCAGGAGGTCCTGAGGGTACGAAGCGACGTGACGTACGTCGGGGTGGAGTTGAAAGGCGTCTTCAGTCGGAGTTGACTTTTTGCGACGTCGCGGCGGCGAGGGGTAGCGGGCGGAGAGAGACGAACGCCGGGGGATAAAAAAAGTCCTTAAGGAATCGCGTTCACAACGCCGACGCGGTCGTATGGGGACAGGTGTGATGAATATGAATACGCACCACGACCTTCTCGTGCCCTCGCCACGCGGCGATCGCGAGCGGCGCGACGCCGTGCGCGTCCCGGTCGCGCGTCGCGAACGCGGCGCCGGCGACGCGACGCAGCGCGTCGACGCCGTCGACGTCGCCGCGCCACGCGCACGCGTGCGCGAGACTTCGTCCGGCGCGGTCCCGGCAGCTCGTCGCGACGGCGGCGGCGGCGGCGGCGGCGGGGATCGAACCGCCGGCGGCGCGGCGCTCGCGCTCGAGCGACGCGAGCGCGCGAGAGACGC